TTTTACACTCGCATTTTGGAGTCTCAGATTTCACCGAGAATTACAAGTTTATGCAGACACGATTGAGGCATAGATAGGAAGTTTGAAGTAAGAATTTTTATGAATGCTTCTTGTTCTGAGGGCAACACAACTCTGAAAGCCATTTACCCGCATCTCCCCTTAATTCCATTCGAAACACGCAAGGGTTACATAGTAATAAGGACGTACTTTACTTCTCAAGTAAACGCTGATAGTTGACAATGAAGAGCAGTATTTGCTTCTATGAGCTCAAGAAAATTATCGTATCACTGAAACTCAATGCTACCTCTCACGGCACCAAAACGAGGATTCCCCTTACGCACGCCACAATCCCTTGCCAAAATTCGTTTCTGTCTGTCACCATGTAAAAGCATTACACTGTCTAGCTCACTGAGCTGGAAAGGCTACGCTTACTTGCGCTAAATTACCGAAAGTTTCCAGCGAACACCAAGAAGCTCAAGAATCAGCAAAGTTGTGCTGTTCACTCTGTGCACCAAACAAGTCCAGTTCAAACATAGCAGCTGGTGAAATATGGGTTCCTCCATTTTACCGTGAAATGTTCTATTCATTTCAAAAGAGAAAATCCAGTTTTATAACGGCCAAAGGAATTTGGTGCAAATCCTAATTATAGTGGGACACTATTATTCAGTCTGTCACGGTAATCACTGATCTTAGGAGGGGAATAAAACCGCTCACACATCGCGGTGACCTTGCTCCTCCCCCAGGCTCACCAAGGCTTAGTGAAAGTGAAGCGTTAGCTCAATCCGCGCCCCGGAAACCAAGGGCCCCACTATATCAGTTCAGAAGCGAAACAGGCCACTGTCAGACTTTGCGAACCCACCGATTCGCTAACGAGATTGGATTGGATTTCCTACCAGCAAATCGCTCGATTCGCAAAGTCTGACACCGGCCTCATGAGGCAAAACCAGATCGGTTTATTCAAACATTATTTTGGCTCTGTTTCCCTCAGGGTGGATGTGCAGTCGCCTCTTTCTCACAAGCAAGGTGAACTTTAACTAATACACGCCGAAAACTGCAGAAATAGAATGTAGAAAAAAGTTGTACTGGGACTCATCATGATGTTATTAACCAAGGAAAAAACAAAACCTCACTGGAAGTTGGACTCACTTCTCGCACTGTCGATACAATCAGTTCGATCGTTGATTAGCAGTGATGTAATGGTAGAGCACAACTAACATGAAGATCCCAATGCCGAGAATATTTGCACATATCCCGAGTTGCACGTCGGTGATCATGTCCTGGAACTTTTGTGTAGGATTTTGAAACCACTTTTTTCGAAAGGTTACTGCGAATGAACCCCATTTGTAAGCAGCAAAAAGGTAAAGTTTAGTCAACGTGAATTCTGCCACGCCTTCTCGCCAGCGCAGCATCATTTCGCTGCGACCGCTGAGAATCATATCGATTTTGGCACGGAGCCAAGTGGGTGGTCGTGCTTCTCTAGCCATCCGAACGGCCGAACGACTTGTACAACCAAATGCCCGACTTCTCCTCCACTACAACTGAGGACATTCCTCTTGCTGACGATGGTGAGTTTTTTTGAGAGCATTGGGCACGGCCACATTCAAAATCTTGCGCAATTCAATGTGGAAATCAAATCAGTGGAAGTACAGACCCATTTCGTTGTACATTTGTCCCCACCAGTGCGGAAGGCTTTTTTTGATTTTATTAAAGGCTAAAGGATAAAGCATTTGCCGTTGATCAATCCCTTTTTGGGATGCGGCACGCATTCTACTTCCATTTGTACATTCGTAGTGGCGTTTGAATGCGATGTGGCCTATACAATGACTTGCGGGGCCAGCCGATGTACAAGTCAGCTCGGACAGATGGAAGGCTTGGTTGGCCCGGGCGACTCACGACCCAGGATTTGATCCCGGACCGCGCGCGTGGTAAGCGCGCCACTTGCCACTACACCACTTCCGCCCTTCGACTTTGAATTTTTGGAAGGCCGAAACCGGCTAAGCACTAGCTTAACGCTTTGTGAAGGTTCGGTTGCCAATGTACAGCTCCACATACTTCGAGCGCTTGGTTACCCTTTCAAGAAAGTTTTTTGCCTTTGACTGCTCCGTGTCTTTTTTTTTCTGCGTACACGATGCTTTTTCAACAGATGCTAGCTTTAGATCGAACCTACACTTTGACCGTATGCTATTTCTTTTGTGACTGAAAGTTCCTTGAAATAAAAGCATCAGAATATCGCTCTGTCCATCTTTTATGCATTTCCTCGTAAAAACCCGACCAGCAAGTGTGCGCACTTTTTCGGCAGTTTCATTTGCCGAACGGCTTGTATTCATTCATCCTACATGCGCAAGCACAACGTAAGCGTTTTCTCCAGAGGGCTTCCATGTCTGAAGGAATAATACAAGTGGGGAGGGAAGATGGTCTGGGCGAGCAGCGTTTTCAAAGCGGTTTCCGCATATTATATGTAGGGACGCATACATTGAACACAACATAAGGTTTCGTTTCAGGTGAACGGCTATAAATAGTAGTAGTGTAAAAAGTAGTGAAAGAAGATGTGTTAACAGCTCGAGTCGTTTCATTCCAGCCGTTTCGTTCATAAACTTTTCGAGCGCATTCACCAATCTAACACTTGCACACACTCACATGCTTAATTTGTCAAGTAGCTTATAAGGCTCTATCTCTAGTTCTGCTGGTATAATAAGCCTAATCTTCAAAAAATCTCTGAAACGTTCTCAGAAAATTCCTATGCGCTGCTCTACCTTGCTCTGACTCTTGTACAGGTTCTCGTCCTCTTTCTGTTTTCAGAAGTATATCCCTTTTATGTTGAGATTTTTCGTGTTCACCACGGATAGAAGAGCAGAGCAGGGATGGCGCTAATATGTTGCAGATAAAAAGTGCGCCAATGTCGCTTTATAAGTGTTCTGTATCCTTAGTTTCTTCCTGCTAAAGTCGTTCAATCTTACAGATGACAGCGTTTCGATCGTGGGTGGAAGCGGAACACCACGACCAGCTCAACCTCTTCCTCGGGAAGAACCTCCTGAAGATCCGGAAGAGAAAGCTCGTCTCATCTCCCAAGTTCTCGAGTTACAAAATACTCTCGACGGTAAGTGTAATATCAGATGGAGTGGATTTTCTGTTGTCCACTTTCAGATAGCGCCTCACCCCACTCGCGATTGCAATCGCCATCGTAGCAGGGTGAAAATCGTGTCGAGGACGGGGTCGCGGAAGTACGACCCACCCCCTGAAATCGAGGTCTTGGCACGACCCCCCCCCTAAAACAGAGCATACGCAAAATCACAACAGCCGAGTGTATCGATCAACGGCCGATTCAACGGCAGCTGCGGCGCGATTTGTCCCTGGGTCAGATTTGCTGAAATCCCGAAAAAAAAACCGTCGAAATCTACACCCTCGATGAAAAGGTTCCATTCCTCCATTTCCCAACCTTTTGAACAGCACGCGGTAGGGTTAGATAGAGCTAGATTTGCTACTATCAGGCAGTATTGAATTGCTATGAAAGCCTTCCATTCGAAGAGATATAGTCTCTCAAAATCCGTCGAGGGAGCGTCGAGGATGCTGAAATTTTCATGCGAGTTTTTGCCACTTAAAAGGCAATATCTCTCTAATTTCGCAAGATCTTGAAAAAACGAAGACAGTTTTGGAAAGCGGAAGGTTTGCGCTTTCTAACAGTATGTTTAGCTTCCTTCTACATTCTCTAGTTGAGGAGATATTTGCGTCGAGGATCTATCGAGGATGATTCTCGGCCGCTCAAAAAGCCGCTCCCTTCTTCACCATTGCAAGTGTAATTCGTTGGCAACGCTCGAAATGTGTCTAGAATACATTCTTCCAACATAAGCAATAAGAAAAGGGGCAATCGTCATTTGTCTGGGTATAGGCCATGCATCCGACCTCACTCGAAGTTGCAGAATCGATTGAAGGTGTTATATGATCATGACCAGTTGACAGAAGCTGCATTGTAGTAAACATTTCGTAACTCCTACAACCTGAAGGAACAAGCTTCATTTGCCCAGGGCTTTTCCTTCACGGTTGTCGTTTTTGCGACAGCGTCCCTAACAACAGTGTCATTCTCAACGAGGTATTAAAGAAGGGCGGTAGATAGAGGAGGTGCCTTTGCAGCGCGTGTGCACATGTGGGTTCCTTGCGGAGATGCACTTTCATTCTTTGTACTGCTTTCAAATACGCCCTTCTCATAAAGGTAGAGGAATGGAGCGACTGAACCTGCAAAGAATATTTTATATCATTTTTTCACATATCTTCGTTTTCTGCTGCGCTACACCCTCTTACCTCCTCTGCACCACGATACCACTGATGTTACTGACCCCAACGAGTACGACCCCCCATGACCCAGCCCTGACAAGTACGACCCCCCTGTCGAGGATTTCCTCGACCGATATTCACCCTAAATCGCAGTCGCGATTGGGGCGTGGCGTGATTCTGGTACCACGCCAATAACTCTCTTACTCAAGCAGTAAATCGAATTTTCAATTCGAGTAATCCACGAAAAATCGCAACACTTTTCGTAACGATAACTTCAATGATTTGAAAATACGGAGATTAGCTCCTTACCCATTCGCGCGTATATTGCGCGCGGCAGCACCGATGTATTCGCTTTTCTGTTCTGCACTGTTATCCTTTATTCGCCTTCGAAGGGCTTGAGGTGTTATTTAGAGTGTGAAAACAAAAGACTCTTCCGAAACTTGATTATAAATAAATTTGCATCAAACACCCCTCCCTCTCATTCAGTGAGACCAGACTTCCATCGATAGTCTATACACCTTCCCTCGATACCTTTTCACTAATTATGGCCTAATTTTTGTTTCTGAGGCAGCTCTCGAGTTCTATAGGGTGTGAACCTTTGACGCTACAATCAGCTCTCTTAACTCGATTTCTTTATTTTACAATTTTTGTTTCAGACTTGAGCCAGCGAGTGGACTCAGTGAAGGAGGAAAGCCTCAAACTGCGTTCGGAAAACCAAGTTCTTGGGCAATACATTCAAAACCTGATGGCTTCCTCCTCAGTGTTCCAGTCTTCGAATACCGCAGGAAAACAGTAGGATTTTTACCACTTCATTACATCGTTACTGTCGTTTGTATGATTTACTATTTCTCTATTCATCACTTTACGACGCTTTTGCGCTTAACATTTCGATTTGTTTTCGTTATTAATTCAACTTCTTCAGTATTGCTTTGCTCTAGTCAGATGTGATCATGGCAGCCTTTAAATTATTTTATGCTTTATCTTTCCATTTCATTTGGAGTTCGATCTTACATGCCTGCATAATTGTAGAAATGGAAATAAAAGTAATTGTGTCAGTAGTAGCTAATTCATTTCCAGTTGCATGGTGCTGTGCATGTCGTGGTGTGTTTCGTCCCTTAATGCTGTGGATTTTCAGAAGCGAAATGCTTTCAAATGCTTTGGAATGGTGATGACCGATCATGAAGGAAGATCTGTGGCTCACGTTGGCAAGTGGGATGTGTCCGAAAATACTTACAGTTGTTGTCTTGTACCCACTCGTTGTGCTGCGCTACAATTATTGCTACTTAGTTTATAGATAGTATTTGTTGTGATGTCATGATTCGTCGTGTTAGGTGTGTGCTACTATCCAGCTTTATTTCACTCGAATCACGTGGGAACTGCAATGCAGAATCGGGAGTTCTGTGATGATAGCTTACCTTTTCACTCGGCTGTGTATTATACTGCGTAGAGCTCTTTTGTATCTCCGTCAGCTACTTCGCTCAGTTATTCAAAACGCTCAACGTAGCTCTTTCTCCTGGGATGGATATTTGTGTGACCTTCACTCCGTATTCATGGAAGGTGCTTGTGTATATTGCTTCTGTTCCTTAGAGAATCGCCTAGCGCAGTAGTTCTTCCAATTCGGACCACATATTTATAGGGTTAATTTTGATGGAGCACATTAAAGAGTAATCCTTAATAAACTCATGCTTATCTGCTACCACCTGCCTGTAGAAATCGTCTTCCGCATAGGTTTTAATTTCTAATCACGTAAGACATCAGATCCAAATTGTTTTTTCCCGCAAAAGTTTTCTCCAGTCTGACGCTTCTAGTGGAACAATATGGAGAGCCTCAAAACGGGTCATACTTGCGGCCAATCGCTAGCGATCCGATTTCTTAGTGTTCATGTCTCCGACGAGCCAGTCAGTGTCCTATTTTCCTAAGAAAAGTGTACACTAACCGACTATTGCTCACTCTGGACATCGTACTGTAACCAGGGTCAACCGTTACGTTGGACCGATATTGGAGCGACGTTGGACCGATGTTCACCGCTCTCCGCGCCGGCATTCACTCTCGCCACCCGCGAGCCGTCTGTGTCTCCGTGCGTACGTTCACTCTCGGCATTACTCTCGTCGTCGCGTTGGACTTTGTCCAACGGACGGTTGACCCTGAGTGTAACTCATGAACTCTCACTAGATCCTCGAAGACGTGGAACACTAAAATTTGCGTGGTTCGCTAGCAGCTGATCGCAAAACGTGACTGGGGAAGTTCAACGGGTTGCTGCGGCCACTTGCAATGAGTTGCATGTGTTTTGAGACGAAGAGCTCAGAATTGCTTCACAAATCTTCCAAATGATGCTTTAACCCTTTGACTACTGGTGGTACACATGTGTACCACTTCCGTAGTCAAAGACACTACCACAGTTTTGGGACTTATTCAGACTGGAGTGCCCGCTTGATGGCGGAATTGTGCACTTATAAGAATGCTATAATTTCTACTGGCGTTACAAGCCAAAGCGAGTTACTCTGGATAAATAACTAGGACATAATGTACCGCACTTTATTGGTCAGTGTGCACAGCCTAAAAAAGGTAATTTTTGAGGCTCACACATCTTAATAATTGTGCTAGTGATTTTGGTGCCCCTACATTTGAACCAGGTGCAACAGTACGTCAACAAGCGAAGAAGGTATGGCATTTTATCTGCCGAACCAGTCAGAGGACTACACGGCGTTCCTTTGACAGTATTGGAGATTTCAACCTCCAATTCTGACAGTTCCGATGGTGCGGAAGTGAAATTAGAAGACTACTATGACGACACAGATTTTGAAGCAGTAGAAGACGACGAAAACTCGTTAGAGCAGAAGCACCCGGTCAGACCCGCAGCGCTTCTACAGAGTGCGGCTTGCAATTCTACCCAAGTGTGGTCGCTACCGGACATTGGCTTTGTTCCACGAAGAGATATGAAAATTGTGTATTCGTAATTGATAACTGATCTGCTAATTTCGAAAATGCTAACCGAGCGGTGATGGTGTGGTGACAAGAGGGGCCGCTACCGCGCGCATAGTCCCTGGATCAAAATCCCAGGTCAAATCCAGCGTACGTCAGCCAAACTTCTATAGGTGATTAGTTGTTGCAAAGAGCAATAGCTACTGCATAAAACACATTGGTAACTTAATTTTGTAAAAGTCGTAGTCTAACAAGGGAGGTCTTTCAGGGCAAGGTGCGCTTTTGGAAACGGTTTAGTACATGTTGTAGGGACGCATGTATGGACCACAAAACCATGTTTCGTTTTCGCTGAACGGTTTTAGTAGTACCAAAAAGTGGTGAATAATACTCTTGATGGTTCAATCCCCCGCGGCGACTAAATTTTGCAATCAAGGTTGGCGGCCACTTGTTGGCTTCAAAATGGTCCTGACGATGAATTTGACATCTGATTTTGATATTTAGCGCGATTTGGCACCAAACCGTAGGCGCCAACCCAAATGCAAAATTTAGTCGCCACGGGGGATCGAACCCTTAACAGTACCTTATGCTTCTTTTTTGGTACTGCTATAACCGTTCAGCGAAAATGAAACATGGTTTTGCGTTCCCTACATGCGTCCCTACAATATGCACAAAACCGTTTTGAAAAAGCGCACCTTGCCCTGAAAGACCTCCCTTGTAAGGGTTAAACGGAGTTATGAAAGCTTCGCGCCACGGTGCTCAGAAGGAGTTATTGAGAGGTCATTCCCGCATCTTGCATCGATCGCGGCCGACAGAATAATACAGTAGCAGAGAGCAGGCCGGCGAATTCTACTTGTATAAGGGCAGACTATGGGGTTGTTTGCATAACTTGTCGAGGCTTTCGCGCACATTAACAATTCCACCTAGTTCCGGAGAACTAAACCAGCTGCCGACCTCATGCAAATCACCTCAACCTTACTTCAGTACAGTTTCAGTTTTGCAAAGTTTTTATGGAGCCTGGATCTGCCGGTCATCCATTTCAGCATAGGTTCGTATGTAAAAGCAGCGAATCTGCTCTCAGGGTTAAGCGTGCGTTCGCACTGTTCGAACGAGGGGGTCGTAGTTGTGATTCTGGCAGAGATGGGGGGATACGGCAATTATGGGGGTTTGAATGGGAAGAGTCGAGATTAGCAATTTGCTGAGGCAAATGGTGGAGGCCATTATATTGGTTTTTGGTTGTTGGAGGGGTTTGGTGGATGTAAGTGGCACAGCGTGAAGAAGGGTTGTGATCGGAATCGCATCGAGACCCCCCTAAAGGAGGGGGTCGCGAAATTTTTGAAAAAGTGCGAATGTCACGGTTGAGCCTGTCTGCTCTTTATTATACGTCGCGAACGAGTAGAAAATTAGGTCGTTTTCGTTGCATAAAACAAGCTAAAAGGTGACGCGCGACCCTTTCGAAATGGCACCCTATTCAAATTTTTGGGACTTTTCAGCTATTCCCGTACAACAGGAAGCTACAACGCAAGTGCGGTCAGTTTGGGAGGAACCTTCTTGGTAGTTCTGTGGAAGCGTGCTTCAAGCAGAACTTTAGGCTAATCGCTGGTATTGTTCAATATCTCACCACCACCTTCATCACCCTTAAGGCTCTCGATACCCCTACAATAGGCGTTTTGAACAATTGCTTCGAACCGTATTTATTGCTAATCTCAGCCAACTGCATCTATAATGTCTTGACCCACATCCGCTCCTTACGGTACTGTTTTGAGCTAAAAAAAAAAAAAAGAAAATCATGCAAACCAGCTTCTCGAGCCTGCCGTAATCATGGCTTTAAAAATGGTAATCAAATGGCGCAGAACAGAGTTGAACCCACTGTTAGATAGCACAGGGAAAAAGTTCTTTGAAACAATGTAGCAGTATGACAAGTAAAAATAAAAAAAAATTGAAGTGGGACCAAAATAAAGCGTTCAGAAAAGGAACATCGAAAAGCGCAAGAACTTTCTTCACGACCTAATATTTAAGTATTACATATCATGCATTCGCTTTGGAACGCTGAGGTCAGATCTGCTCAACTATTCTGTGAACAAGGTAAAGTGCGCGCTGCGCATATTCCAAAATTTTTACGACCGATCTTTAGTGGATACCACTAGTCCCTCCGTCGGATGAGCATGTTTAATGTTTATTTCACATTAAATTTACGCCCATTCAATGAGGTATGGGCCGTAGATCCACGAATGAACATAGGCGTTAAACCCTTTGTTGGCGATACAAGTACCACGGAGAGTCGCTATTCTTGAATCCGCTTGTGGGAAGGGAGGGGGTGGTCGTACTTGCGGTGGTCGACAGTGGGAGCTTAAACCCTTTACCCCTCATAGACCTCTCACAGCTATGAAGAATAATACTCGCAGAAAAAGCAGTAGCGAAACATGTAGCTTCGTTCGAAGAGAGTGCTCGCAATATGTATGGATATAGCCATGAAACCACAGGTGAAACTGAGGTGAAGCTGGAGCATTGCCTGAACCAACATGGATAATAGCCACCACTATGTTTACGCAAAACAACTGATACTAGAGCATCTATCAGCTCACGCATCCTTCCAAATGGGCTTTCAAATGAATCAGCGCGGCCTAGGCGTGGCATACACCATGGCAGTGCAAGCGCAAACTCGTTGTTTTCCAACACATTCAACATTTAACATAAAATTGATTTTGAGGGGAATTATGACCACTGAAACCTGAAAACTCGCCCCTTTTTCAAGGAAATGGCTCGAAGAATGACCTTCCACAAGTCCCAGGAACTAAATAATTTTCCAACTAGAAAATTTTTGAATGAGT